GGGCCTTGCTGAGAGTGTGCAGGTGGCTGGGGAAGGGGCCGCAGCCTCCCCTTCATTCTTGGCGGTGATGACCAGCATGGACGAGGCAGGGAGGCTCAGCCCGGAGCCCAGCAGGGAGTCTGAGGGCCTGGTGTTCTCTCAAAGCCTGGCAAGGAACTCGCACCCGGGGGAACTTGGGGAGGGGTCAGGGAGCTTAGCCTGTAAGCACCCAACACAACCTGGCGGAGCCCAGGCCCCCTTAAGCACAGAGTGACACCCAAAACAGACAGGCACCTGCACTCTATGGGACACCTTTCTATGGGAGGCAGCAACCGGTCAGGTGGAAACGCTGACAGTAGGACAGTCAGAGGCAGTCCCTTCCCTTCGCTCTCGCCCACAGCAGTCTCTTCCCTTTGCCCCTTCTAATTCTGGGTACAGTGACCCCACTTCAGAAAGGGACACCCTCGCCCCCACTGACAAGTGTGTATTTGCATGAGGCACGACAGTGAGCTGCGGACCCTCTGCACACGCTAGCTGGGTCATCCTCGCACCCAGATGAGGCCCTGGCTCCCCCTCCAAGCCCCCGTCACTGCTGCAGCTGCAGGGTACAAGGTCCCCTCTGCTCGGTGCCCGCCAGCAGGGTCTTGGATTTGGGGTCTGGTGGACTGATCTCAACTGCTTTCCTCTCCCCAGGATTTTGATCAACCACAGCCTGGTGCTCAGGAAGATTCTTTGCTATGGCTTTGACATGGATTACACTTTGGCAGGTAGAGAGGGCTGCAGGGCAGGGCTGTAGAGAGGGGATGCGGGGGTGGAGGGTGGCGGGGGTGGGTCCAGGCAGCAAGGCTCCAAGCTGCTGGGTCTGTGGGCCCCTGCAGCCTACAGGTCCACAGGCTATGAGGCACTGACCTTTGAGTTGCTGCTGGAGCGTCTGGTGTGCATTGGGTACCCGGTGGATCCTGCACCACATCTATGACCCCACCTTCTCCACTAGGTGTGGCCTCGGAAGGGACAGAGGGACAGGCGAGGGGCTGTCACTGGCCTGGCTCTCTCATCCAGCGCCCCTGCGCTGTCTCCCCAGGGGGCTGGTGCTTGATGCACTCTGCAGGAACCTGTGATGCCCATGGGAACATGCTGTGTGCCCATGGCCTCACATTCCTCTGGGGCTAAGGGCTGAGCGCCGCCAGGGAGGGGAAGTGAGGGGATGGAGCTGCCACGCCGGGTGAAGAGCGCAAAGTTCTAGTGCTCAGGCTGCATGAATGGCAACCCGAGGGGCCTGGGAGGGGGAAGGCGGAGCCAGGAAGGGTGGTCAGGGCCTGGCCGGGCCTCTCGGGGGGAGTGATGTCAGCTGCACCTGGCACCCCCTCCTTAGGGCCAAGATCTGGAGCTTCTACCCCAGCAATTTCATACAGAGGGACAAGGAGCAGTGGTTTCACATCCTCAAGGCACTCTTCAACCTGCCTGGTGGGGGCGGGTGGCGGGTGGGGTTGGTCGTTAGGGCCCCAGGGCCAGTGGCTGAGCCACCTCTCTGCCCCAGAAACACACTTCTATGCCTGCCTGGTAGACTTCTTCTCCAGCGGCCCCCACTACACCAAACGCATCCTGTGCCCCGCCAAGTACTGGGGTTCCCAGGGGCTCAGCCCCAAAGCGAGAGGCCCCACCACAACACAGAGGTCCCTTGTGAAGGGTTGGGGGGATTCCAGGAGCTCAGGAAGAGCCTGCAACCTGTGATGTCCCCACACTTAGCACGGGGTGACGTCCCTCTCAGGACGGCTGGGACATAAACCCAGTGTAGGCCCTGTGAGGCTGGAGGAGCCACTCTGGTAAAGGTTACAGGGCTGGGGTCACCTCAGGCCCCCTTATCAGCCGCTCCTGTCCCTTGTCCTGTCCCAGCTGTGACACTGGCTATCAGCACATCAAACTCTTCAGGTCCTTCCAAAGTCTCTTCTAGGACATGACTGAAGCCATGAATAATGTCCACATGTCAGTGAGTGGTCCAGGCCTCGGGACCCTTGACCCAACCTGTCTGCCTTTGGCTGTCCTGGGAACGTCCAGTTCCCACAGGCCTTCCACCCCTCTTCCCACACGGACAGGCTTCCCATCCCCTCCCGCCACCATGGATACACGCTCGCTCCGCTCCCTCCCGCTGGGCTGTCTCAAGGAGATGCTGCAGGACTTGGAGAAATACGTGGAGAAGGAGGTGAGTGGCCGCAGATCCAGGCCATGACTGCTCTGTCCCCTTCCCCAGGCAGTGGGCAGCCCCTCCATGGTCCCTGGCACTGCTCAGGGCTTTCCCCTGGAGGCACTTTCTCTGGGAGGGGTTTGGGGGTGGCTTCTAGGCTGAAACCTAAGAAGATTCCAGGGCAGAGCTGGGGACCCCAGTCCTGGGGTCTCCACCTTTGCCCCAGGCATGAGTCCCTATCCTGCTGGGCATGATGAAGGAGGCCGGGAAGGTGTTTTGGGCCACCACCAGCAGCTACAGGTACACTGGTGTGAGTGTGAGTGTGTGTGTGTGTGTGTGTGTGTGTGTGTGTGTGTAGGGGACCCTCAGGCACTGTGGGAAATGAAGAAGGGGTGGGAAGGAGCAGAGACCTTCCCAGCCGACCCCAACCCAGGCTGGCATCTTGGGTTCCATTGCTCTGCCTCTCAAGACCTCTGTGGGGTGAGAAGTTTTCCCGCCACCTTGCTCAGGGGCCCTAGGAGAGGGGGTGGTGGGTGGGCAGAGCCCAGCCGGAGCTCAGTGCTTCGGACCCCTGTCTTGCGCTGCCAGGCCATCAGGACACAGCTGTTTGCCACCAGGGAGGCCAGTGTTTGGGGCGGGGCCAGAGTGGGCTGCCAAAGGGCAGAGAGGGCCAGGACTCTCCCAGGTCCCCCCACCTCCAGCAAGGACCAAGCCTGTGAGCAGTCATTTCCCCAGGGAGCCTCCTAAAGGGCCACACAGGCAGGTGGGTGTCGGGAGGAGCTGGCTGAGGTGAGAAGAGGGCCCCGCGGGGCAGGGAAGGAGCATGCGCTGGGGCCTAGGCGCTGGTGGGACCGGGTGCTCCTGGGCAGCGGGTGGGGTCCATCTTGGTGACTATGCTTGATCGTATGAAGTTCAGTGCTGCCTCCACAGCCACGTTTGGAACACTCCTGTGCCCAGCTTGGGTGGGGACACGAGGAGTGCGAGCCGCGATTCCCAGCCCTAGCGATGTCCATTGGACAGGGAGGCTGCTGCGGCGGGGTCAGAGCTCCCAGGCTGTGTGTGCGCACCGTGTGCCTGCACTTGTCCCCCGCCCTGTCCTGCAGGCCGAAGGCTCAGCCGGGCCTTGGAAGCCCTGCTGTGACCTGATTGTGGTGGACCCCGCTCTCTTCGGAGGGGACGGTCCTGAGACAGGTCAACATGGTAACGGCAGGTGCTGAGGCCCCATCTGGCTGGGGGGACACTTCCTGCCCTTGGACTTGACCTGCCTGTGGCCTGTCTGTCCCTGGAGGCAGATAGCTGGGGGCCCCTTTAAGGCCCTGCAGCCCTTTCTCTGACAGCGGAGAAGTTGTGGTTCCCTTGGCTAAGGGCCCCTCTGCCCCTGCCAGAGCTGGGGCAAGCTCCGCACGGGCGCTCACACTGGACCCCACCAGCACCACTGTCTACTCTGGAGGTGCAGGCCCCCCCATGGCTCCCTCAGCAGGTGCCCACATCCTACGCTCCCCCTGGGCGAGAAGGGTGAGACAGCACCTGTCCTCCCTCGATGGGGCAGGCTCCTTGGACCTGGTGCTCAAGCTGCTTGGCGTGACGGGAGAAGACATCATGTACATTGGGGACCACATCTTTGGGGACCTGTCAAGTCCCAGAAGCAGTAGGGCTGGCAGACTTGCCTGGTGGTTCCTGAGCTGCCCCAGGAACTGGGCTTCTGGGCCCTGGGAAAGGGTGAGGAGAGGTCAGGCCTGGGGAGGGGGGGCTCCTCTGTCTTCGATTTTCCGGCAGTGGGTTAGTAGGGACAGAAATCATATCCTCTCTGTGGTTTATGAGGGAGGATCTGTCTTGCCCACCAACAAGATAACAGAGACCCCGGGAAGTTAAGAGTTTGCCTGAAGTCTCACAGCATAGGGGCCAAGCTGGGACTCGAGTCCTTGTGGTCTGACCCCAGAGTCCCGCGGTGTTTTAGGGGCTTTTCTCCTGCCCTTCCCCTGCCCTCCTCAGGGCCCCAGGGCGCTAGCATGTGGGAGGCACACTTTTCTACCCAGGAAGTACCCGGTGTCATCTTTGGGGTTAAGAATTAGTGAAAGCCCATCAGTTTGAGGTTTGTTCTGACCGCTGCTGGGTGTGAGTCATTGCCCTGTGACTCCGGCAAGGTCACCCGAGTCCCTGAACGCCTGTCCCTTGTCCCATGGGGCCTGTGAGGTCTCTGCTATGCTTGGTCTTACCTGCCCAGAGGGGTCTCAAGTGTTGGCAGGGGTGTGGAGCAGAGACCCCTGGCAGGAGCTCCGCCTGTCTTTCAGCTGAAGAGGCTGGACATGCTCCTGGTGGATCTGTATCCTGAGAGCCCTAGCTTTTGGGGGGTGGTGATGGGGAGGGGGATGGAGGTGCCGGTCAGGTCCAGGTCTGGCAGTGAGGTCTGGGCCAGGGTCATTAGCAGACAGACTGGTCACGTTCAGTGACCTCTAGGCCTTTCCTCTAACCCACCCCACATGGACGTGCGGGGGTCTCTCACTCTGGCAACACACCCGGCCCGACATCCCTGGCTCTCCGGGGTCTCCTCGCCACCCCACAGGCCCAGGGAGGTCGTGCTCCTCTACTCCCTGGTCACGGGGCTGTTTTTGCGGCAGGCACACGGGTGGGAGCAGTTACGGGCTACGAGTCATCCACTCCACCAAGAAGGAGCCTCAGAGAGCTGGGAGGCCGGGCGGGCGGGTGTCCTAGGTCGGCTTTGTGTCCAGTCCCAGCAGCCCAGCTCTCACTCCAAGGTGCGCTCCACCCGACCTTGTCCTCCGGCGCCCTCTGCCGTCGCATTTAGGCGGCGCCGCAGGCTGCCTGGGGCTGGGCGAGCCGGGTCCGGGGGTGCCTCGGGCCCCCGGTCCTCACCGCGGAATCTGGAGAAGCGCGCCTGCCGGGTCGGGTCTTCCAGTGGAAGCTGTGATCGCTGTCTGGGGCCAGCCGGAGAAGGGGCCTGAGAAAATGAGGGTCAGGGCCGGGGAGCGGAAGGGTCCTGGGGAAAGAGAAGAGGGGAAACACTCCCGTGCGGCTGCGCCGACCGGCCGGAGCGCGAGTGGCGCTCGCGCTGGGCTGGGGCGCCCGGGAGCGGACCTGTGCTGCAGCACCACGGGCAGCCTGTTCAGCGCGGCCTCAGCAAGAGCGCAGATAACAGGGAGGGCGCAGCTGGGTTTTCTCTGGGGGACCCAAGGATGCTCCTGGGCTAAGAGTAGGAAAGAGAGGAGGCCGCGACAGCGCTGCGCAAGGGTTAGTGGGAGCCAGGGCCGGCGCGGGGCTCCCCTGGAGCCATCACAGCTCCATCGCATAGTAGAGTGTGTGGTTAAGGGTTTGGACTTCAAAGTGGGGGCTTCAGGGTTCCCCGTCCCCGCCTTCCCTGCCATGCTCAGCTGCCTTCCAGATGTTCAAGAGGGGACCATTTGTTGAGCGTTTGCTTTTTCCTGGCCTGGGAAGGGTACTTTAATCCATTCAGCTTAATGCTCATATAATCTAACAGAGTAGGTTTTTTTCAGCCTCATTTTATGCTTGGTGAATTGGAAGTGCAGGGAATCTAAGTCACTTGTCACAGAGCTAGGAGACAAGGGAGGTGGGATTTGAACCCGAGGGCTGTCCAGCTCCGGGGAACTTACTCTGTCCCCTGGACTCTGCTGCCTCTTACACTGGCCTGGCAGGAGAACTGTTGGCAAGGCCTAACCAACCCTGCTTTTACACATCATGCTAAGTAGAGACCATGCCGGGGAGAAAAGGTGCCCTTTAAGGACATCTGACCCTCGCTTATCCGTGCCAGCCTGGGCTTTCTGAGGAGGCGAAGCTCAGCGATGAGAACCTTCCATCCCCTGCTCCCGCTTCTCAGCTCCTTCTGCAGCATCCTCGGGCGGGAACCTGGCATGGGTGGGTGGGGGACCCGTGCATAACTGAGGGATCTTGGGAGGGCCCTGCAGGTCGAGTTGCTCTGTCTCCACCCGCATCTGTCCCTGCAGATGGTGCATGTGTTGTTTGTGGGGGAAGAGCGGGCCAGTCTGGATCCTGCCTGCTGCTCCCTGTCCTGTAACCCGAGGGTGAATAGCCCAGGGGTTCAGAGGCTTGGGGCAGTCAAGGGGTAGAGTAGTGGTGACCAGTGGGGTGGCATCAGCCTCTGGGGGCGCTGGAAAATTTGCAGGAACCTTTTTTGGGCATTCTTTCAGACTTTCTTGAGTCTTTAGGTAGAAATACCATAAATTGCTTTTCTTACATCTCCTTTGTTATAGTACTGGCATTATACTGACTTTTTAAATTATGGAAATAATTATTTATGGATTTCAGTTCAGGATGGCAAAGAGGAAATTTAAATATTTCTTTTCAGAATGAGGCATCGGATGTGATAGGACCACAGGTCCTGCTCAATGGGGCTGAGCTGACTGCTGGTGCCCGCACCTCTACAGAGCACTGCTAGAGGCTGCCTGGCACATGCTCACAGCCCTTGTGCACACCAAGGAGCAGGGATCCAGTTCCCATGCCTTGCTGTTTGGGCTGAGATTCCTGCTGGCAGTGTGGCAGCCTCGGCTCCTAACTGTATCTGCAGCCCCAAGCTCTCCATGAGGGTCCTGGTTCCTACCCTGGCTTTCCTGAGGCTTGCTTCTGAAAATGTCTGTCTCAGAGGTTCCCTTCAGCTGGGTATTACCAGGCACATGTGTGTCCTTTAGCCGGTGTCCACTCAGTGCCTCCTGCTTGCCTGCAGTATAGAAAAAAAAACCGAGAAGGGATTGGAAGCTACTTTACTCCTGCCTGGGAGCAGCTCAAAATGCTTGGTTGTGAATTCATAACTGAATCAGTGCTTACCGCTACAGTATCTCTCCACCTCTGCCTATTAGCAGGCCGAACGTGCTCCTGTCGGTGGTGCTTGGCTCTCAGGGCAGTGAGTGGCTTGCTTCCTCCTCCCCTCATCCTCTGAGCGAGACAGTGTGACATGTTTTCTACACCTGGTTGGGAGTCACTGTGTGAACTTAGGAATAAAAGTTCCATAACTGTTTTGTTTGATTCTTAGAAAGCTGAGGACAAAGAGAGCGACGAGGACCAGGTGGGCTGCACCCAGGCTAACTCACCTGGGGACGTGGGTCCGGATCATGATACCTTTCAGGTGACTACTAAAGTATGGGAGAAGGAAAGAGCATTGCTACTTCCCAAATGCAGCAGACTTGGAGCCAAAAAACATTTGTTTTCGGGAGGATGAAGCAGTTTTGCTGTCATCCTAAAGGCGTCAGTCACGGTCTTGGAGCCTTTTGGAAATGTGTGCAGCAGGTGGAATCAGAGCTGTTCTCCTGAGCTGCACCACGTCTTGCATCCAGTTTTATTTCTAAATATTTCTGTGCAGCTAATAGGAGACAGGGAGAGAGATCTTTTGCAAATGAGGAGCTGGACCAAGAGATGGAGAGGGAGTGAAAGGGAGATTTTAGTTTTTAAAAGCTTGATGCCATTTCTCTAAGTCAGTTTATCTCCACCATAGTTAGAGCTGTATGCTGTTCCTCCTGAGACAGTGTGACACCGATGGTCACCCCCCACTTCTGAGAGAACATTTAGTTAGGCCTGTGGTCACCTGACACTTCTCCAAGGCTTCTCTGAAGATGGGTGGGGATGTGTGACTGAGAGCTGGCCCTTCCGTCCTGGGCAGGAGTAATGCGTCCAGCTTCTGAGTGGTGACCTTATGAGAGGGGCACCGTCCCCTTCTTCTCTTCTCCCCTCTCCTCTCAAAGAGGAGTTGGTTGGGAGCCACCTTTGGCCACACAGGGCAGGTAGGGACTGGCGCCATGGTAGGGGTGGCAGAGCCCCAAGGCAGACGTGATGCCCGGCACCTTGTTAGCACTGCATCCTTTCACCTGGAATGTGCGAGATGCACTTCTGTTTGGGACTGGCTGCAGGAGCTGAGTCTGCACTCTAGCCCTAGCATCAAGCCCCAGCAGTTAGGAAACGAGGAGAACGGAAGCATCCCTGGGGTTGTGACCTAGCATTAAAATGTGACCGAGCCACCCCGCTGCACAATAGGTGATTACACTTTTGCTGTCAGTTTCTCCTGCCTGGTACACTGGAAATAGTTTCAGATTTGCTTTCCCTGTCACTACCCTGCTTCTCATTTCCTTCCATTAGAGATGGGATTTAAAAGCTCTGGACACGGAGCTAGGCAGCCCTGGGTTTGAAATTGCCACCTTGTCATTTACCGTGCGGTTACTCGGTTCCCACGCCTGTCTGGAAGCTGGTGTGAGAATGTCCTCAGATGCTGCGCACGGAGCTTGGTCTGAGTAGGCACTAAGTCCATGTTCTGTACTATTATAAATTCCTGTGTCAGGATTTTCTTCCTAATCAACTGACAGCAATTTAAATAAAACAGGCTGAAGGAAAAGGAATTTATTAGCCCATAAACCAAACAATCCAGGGCCAGCCAGTTCCAGGCCCGGCAACAGACGGGAGCCAATCTGTGTCACTGACATAGCTTCACTCTCTCCGGGTTATCCTGTGTTGAGAATATTTTCTAGCAGGCTTCGTTCAACTGAGTATTGCATGGCTAATTCCAAACTGGTTTTATCTTATCTTTTCAACAGCCCTATGGGAAGTGTCAACGAAAGCCTGGGAAATGAGGTCTCAGTGATTCTGACCCCATCCTCCAGCCAGCGCTGGCCAGGGAGACGGCAGGCCCTGGTCACCCAAGCTGAGGGCATGAGCTCAGCCCCGGTTACAGCCTGCTCATCTCATAGTGTTAGGCTGGGCGTGGGAAAGAGGCAGCCTGTGGACACGGGGCTCCCTGACCGGAGGCAGTACACGCCAGGCAGGCAACAGCAGGCTTTCACAGCGTGTGAGACTCCGCAGAGTTCCTGGCACAGTAAACACTAAAAAATGTGAACTGTCACGTGTCTGCTCTGTCTTCTGGTTTCCAGTCACTCTGAGTAGTGATGCTGTACGTAATCCTCATTAATTTTCTTTTAAAATTCTTCACACCTGGCTCCTGTGAAAAGCTGCCCCTAAATGTTAGGCTTGATTTCTGCCAAGGCCCATATTTGCACTACGGTTCTCTGTACTCCCTCCTCCCAAGTGATTATCAACTCTTCTCCCTGCCTTCTTTCCTCTTGCTCTCGCCCTGCTCAATACATCTAGGAACAGCTATTTACCAACCAAGAGAGCTACTGAGTATTGACAGTCAGCCCTAAAATCAAGGTGTTTTCTGCCGTTGTAGCTTCCACGTTTGTTTCCACACCCTTTTGCACTAGAGACTCCTTGTAGTCTGGTCAGGTGATTTAAAATCTCTAATTTGTCAACTTGAAAATTACACACTCTTACGTGCCAGTGGTTCAGCCTGGAGCATTACTGCCAGTGCCCAGGGAGGAACATGAGACATCCTACGAAAATCTGGCAATGAGGAAAGCAAAGCCGCTCTTCTGAGAACCAGGCTGTGACACCAAGACAATGGAGATGGAAAACCAGAACAGAAACAGCTGGTTCCCAGGCCCGGGGAGAGGGAGAGTGGAGGTGGCAGGGATGAACCATTCCGGAAGCCAAAGAAAAGGGCGGCAGTACAGGATGGATTGATCGCGAGGGTCTGTCAGTAGGCTGAAGGGTGCCCAACTTCTGCAGCAAACACATTCTGCACATGGAGGGACTTGCTTCAGCTCCCTTATCCTGGTGATTTTGAACATCACGCCTACTCCTTCAGTCCCATGCTTACACTCTGTGACCTCTAAGCATTCTTTGGCTTCCCAGTAAAGCATGTTTGCCTAAGGGAAGGACGGGACTGGCCCTGTGCGTCTGCTATGGCAAACAGAAACACTGAAATGACACCCGGGGTTTGGAGGCAGATTTTTTTAATGTCAGATGGGTACTGACTGGGAATCAATTATTCCTCAAAATGTCAGGCCCTGCCCTCTGGTGGTCTAGGGCTTATATGGGATAAGCAAGCAGGAAGTACAGAGGCAGAATGGCTTATCAGTTGGGGATTGGTTCTTACACTGTGCATCATAGTGACCAGCTATGCATCATAGTGATCAGCTGTTTCTAAGAAACAAAAGTAACAGAAGCTGTAACCAGAACCGTAACTCGGGCAGCTAACAAACTGAAGTATACCGGCTGGGGGCAGGGGGCATGTGGGCGGCATCCTTTGTTACACGTCCTGCATTTCAGCTGTGGAAAGTTAGGCTGCTGGTATATGGTGTTATGTCTCAGTTCTGTGGGCCTTGTTATTATAAAGCTGATCTTGAGAGATGGGTCAACTTTCCTCACAATGAAAAAAAGCAGTTTCTGGATTAGGATGATGGTCAGACCCTTGATTAGGGTGTGTTCTCCAAGCCACAAATGCTCCCCATGAAGCCTTTTGGGATAGAAGCCCCCACTACCACTTTCTATAATAAATAAATAGACAAGCAAGGATGAACAACAATTTAATGTTCTTTTTAAAGATAATACTTAAACAATAAGCTGAAATTTGAAATGTATTAACTAGGCTTTTCTATACATTATATTTACATAATGATTCTGATTTTACCTTTCCAAGTGCAGTTTCCCCAAGAGTTTAGAAAAAGCAAAATGTGTCACAGTCTCTGGGGCTCACACTGTCGTCTCAGGCCAGCTGTCCCCTGGCAGAGCAAAGACTAGACGTGAAGAAGTAACTGCCCCCTTTCCACCCTTCTTGTTTACCCTCTTTTGTTTTAACTTGAGTGTTTCTGAACAACAAATGCAAACTTAGATTTGGATATAAAAAGCTAGATGACCACCTCAATGTAGGGCCATGTTTTGTTCCAGAAGACCTGGGCCAGAAGGGACAAGAATTACCCCTTGTCGGCAGGGATGCTGCGACGGAAGTCAGGGGTCACCCATGTGATCTCTGAGTGAAGGGAGGCACAGCCAGCATAAGCTCAGCTGTAACATGAGGGGTGTGACCTTCCAGCCTGGCATGCTAGTTTCAAACCTCCACTCTTCCGCCTACAAGACCTGGCCTCCTCTGCTACGGTGGATGCCGAAAGGAAAGTCCATTCTGCTGCAGCACCAACCTTCAGATATGGAAAATAACTACAGTGAAATTAAAGTATTTCAGTAAAGTGCAAATTGCTTCCACAGTGGTGGGGGAAATTCTGTTCAATACTTTGAAATTTCCTTATGTTGTAAAACTATAGCGAACTACAGTCTTAAACATAAACTGAAGACTTTCCCATGGGGATATAAAATTGGAGAGTAAATCCAGTGAATTACTTCCTAAGTCCCAAGACTGCGTAAGTCCATAACCTTCGTAAGTCCATAACCTGCGTCCATGATGTCTTACTGTTACATGACTTTTTCACGTCATCTGGACAAGGGTTCTGATGGAGACTCTGAAGAGTTTTTTTTTTTTTTTTTTTTAAAAAAAGCATTAAGAAATTATGATTCAAGGGTTTCAAACCCTAATGTAACAGGCAAGGCTTCGTTTTTACGGAATACAAAGCATTCTGTTTCTTCCACTTCTAATAGCTCGGAAAGAGAAGCCACTACCAAATCGTGCTCCTGCAGCATTTCCGGGTAGCGCGACACGGCCCGCTCGATCCTCGCTGAACGCCGCACAGGAGTGATAAGCTTCATGTCTTGCACTTCCGGCATCCCGCTTATTCTGAGAGACAGCAAAAGGGGCATTTACTTATTCATTTTTCGTCTTTTTGAGACAGGGTCTCACAATGCAGTTCAGGCTGGCCTTGAACTTGCTATGTAGCCCAGGCTGGCCTTAACTCGTGGTGATCCTGCCTCAGCCTCCTGTGTGCTGGGATTACAGATGTGTGCCACCATGCCCAACTAAGAGATGCACTTACAACCTTGTACCTTTCAAAAGATTCTACTTGTTCTTTCTTATTCCATAATAAAACATGACAGATGCTTCTGTTTAAGTCGATACAAGAGCTATGTCTGGAGTAGCTGTCCTCCTATGGTGGCTTTTCCCAAATTTCCAGACCGTTTGCAGTGGTCACCTGCTTCTCGGATGGTCTAAGCACAGGGAAAGCATCTCTGAAGTGTGAAGTGTGGTTTTTAGGTGAAGGCAACTGCTTTGCGGCTGGTGTTTGTTTATCCTATAAACTTACAAAGAGTTAACAGGTCTTAAGGAAATTGGGCCTAACACCAAATTTGGCTGGACTAATGACTTCCAAGGTTCTTTCTAGCTCTGACAGAAAATTATTCAAAAGATAGCTTTTAAGATGGTGAAGCAAACCACAAATTGGACACCTTCCTTGTAAATGCATTCCAATTGGCCGGAGCCGGAGGACAGGGTGAAACCCTCCCATGTAGTGACTCTGACCCGCAATTCACAGAACGAGGCAACACTAGCAGGTGCGTCTAAGGAAAGCTGTTGTAGAGCATTCTAGAGGCAATGAGAGGTGGATCACTCGCTTCCTTTCATGCACGCGCTGTCAGCAGTGGGGCAGTGAAGTGTCCAGGAGAGGGGCTCAGGAATGCGACTAAAACACACCGCTGTTGTCCTGGTGCTCTTTATGGGTCGGGAGCTGAGAGTAACGCTACACTTTCCTTTTTGACAATGACCTCGATAGCCTGACACAGCTCTTTAAAGTGATTATAGGTTGTCTTAAATGCATACTTATTAAAAAAGCAGGGCGCTTCTGAGCAGTCTCTAACCAGTACAACCGCCTTCCCTGTTCTTCCAGGGCTCCTCACCGCTCCTCCTCGCCCACAGCTCCAGAGCCATCCCTGGCCAGGGACCTGGTGCTGCTCACCCCTCTCACCCCTCCGTGCCAGCCAGGCAGGAAAGGTAGGAGGCAGCTCCAAGTGCAGAGCAAACGGGAGCAAGGAGGCTGGACAGACTCCAGGAGGGAAGAGGGCGAATCCCTTCCACCAGCCTCCCGGCTCCGGGGGCCTCTTCCTCACCACAGGGCGCATCCCACAGGGGTGGCGGAGGGGGACAGGGTGTGTGCAGAGCAGAGGCGCACCCTCCTACCAGTGCTTTCAAGCCTTGGCTCCTTCCTGGGAGCCAAAGATGCTTCGGGGTGCCTGGACCTTATAGGAGGCAGAGCTGTCTGTGAACTGCGGTTACTCTGGATCGGTGAGGGTGTGCTGAGCACTGAACCGGAATGCGGTCTGTGATCACAAAGCCTGCTCGGGAGTCTGCTTACCTCGGGATGGAAGAGATCTGTAACTTGATACCAGGGTGATTATCCTGTCCTGCCTTGGTTATTTGGGGCGTTGCTGGAACCTGGTCCCTCTCTTCTGGAGGGAGACAGGGCTCTCCAGATTCCATCTTCGCGGCCAGCGCTTCCATCGATCTGATGGTAGCTGCAGGAGCTACAGAGTCAGAGGCAGTTCCTGTGCATGTAAGAAAGGGAAGGAAGGGAAACAAGACTTAGCAATTTAACACTTAAACATCAATAAAATGAAAATATAATCCATACAGTGATTTCCCAGTGATCTTCATGAAATCCATATATTAAAGAGCAAATGATTTGAAGTGGCGTTTATAACTAGCTTTTCCTGCTGAGCCCCACAGCAGGGCCTGCTGACATCAGGCCCCCTGCTAACCGGCCCTCCAGAGCCTCTGGGCCTGGATACCCTTTCAACACTGAGCACATCTCCAATCTTTTTTACCCTTGAGGGCTCTTGTACTGGCTAATCGCTGGCCTTCTACCCTTACACCATACCATGGATCGGTTTTCTTGACTTACTTGACTCAATTTCCCAATCCCCTCTTTACCCAGGGATGACCACATAGTTATTACCGTACAGAGTGAGTGAAACGTTATCTTGTATTAGCTTAATTTTCATGATAGCTCAACCACAACAACCAAAACGAAAGGAAGTAAGCTAGACTAAGATAGGCTGAGACCCTAAGAATATCTGTTGGGCTGATAAGCAGCAAGGCATGAATTCCTGTTTGCTCCTTCCATCCCTTGGAAGACTGTGCCATGTGTTATGAGTACAATGCCAAATATCTGCTCTGCGGTATTACTTCCGGAGTCTACTGTTGAGTTTATTTATTCTCTGACTTTATTTTCAAAAGTAGTGGGCTACTTAGCTATAATTCCACAGGACTTGACTGTTTTCCTAGTTAAATCTATTCTTAATGGAAACAGTTTTGTCACCTTATAGGAAGTATCCCCTTTATTTTTTCAAGATAACTTGTTTTACCCTTCTGTTCATATAACAAGTAGTACGCATGGTAATAACACGCCACGCACTGTGTTTGGCACGTTAGCTCCCATAAGCTCGTCCTCTAAATGTTCTGACCAAGGACAGTAATGGTTAAAAAGAGACTCTTGCGATGGCTATTTAAAGAGATAACATGAGTGTAGATGTGTGTTCGTGGGTTTATTATAATTAAACACAGAACTTAAACCGAGGCATCTCTCCCTTTTGCCTGAGTCTTTTCTGATGAACAGTCCTTTGCCTTCTTCCACGAGAACTCCAGGAAGGCAGGACGCCTCAGGGCGCCACGTGGAAACAGCCTTGTGCTGTGTTGGGCGCACAGACACTCGTAATGATAGCAGTAATCAGCTGATGGCAACGGCTGAGAAGGTCAGCCCATGAAAAGGAGGAAGTGAGAGGCATGTTGGGGGTTACAAAAGTAACCATACCTTCTGTAGCTCTGTTTTGATCTTGCAAAATATTAAGAACAACTTCCCGCAACTCTTGTATTGGCTGGAGAGAAGAAAATAAAGGGTGCTATTAAAAGTGTTCATGGGGGAACAAAGAGCCAAGGAACTTCCACATCAAGTAAACTGCTGGTAAGAAGAATGTTTCCTTTGAAAATCTCTTGTCTGTCTATAAACAACATTTATAATTTCATGATAAAAGTGAAGGAACAGAGAAAATACTCGTTAAATGTTGACGTCAACTTCCGTGAAAGCTGTGTTTAAAGTTGTCTACAACAAAATTTCTCTAAATCAAATTCTGTTTTCCTATTAACTTACATAAAGATTCTGATCCATGAAATGAAGTACCATATAGAAAATGTATCACATATTTTTAGTGTTGTCTTAGTTTAAGTCTTATTTTCATCATAAAAATCTTATGCCTCATTTGAGAAAAACTGAACAGTAGATTAAACTTAACAAAGGAAATCACTAATAAACCAGGAAGGAGATTGGAAGAGGCTTCTCTAGAGAATCTTACTTTAAGAGGAAAGATCTAAAGATAATGATATTGAGGGTTCTTTACTAAATCGTTGATAGCAGATCACTCTATGATGAAGCTCCATTCATGTGTCTAGGCTTTTACTACTGTTTTTTTTTTTTTTTTTTGTATTTTTGAGATAAGGTCTCGCTATGCACCTCAGGCTGGCCTTGAGCTCACTTTGTAGCCCAGGCTGGTCTCGAACTCTCAACGATCCTCCTGCCTCAGCCTCCCAAGTGCTGGGAATACAGGCGTGCGCCACCACACCCGGCTCATGCATTGAGATTTGTGCAGCTGTGTGTAAAAGGTGGTCAAAGCCTCATCCTGCATAGCTCAAAGTCTACAAATTATGTCTAAAACTGATACATCAAAAACCAGCAAGGTAAGCATGTTTTCTGGAACTATGGAGGTAAAAATATTCAAATGGTCACTGTGCTCTGGGAGTTAGAAAACGGGAGGGGAAGGAGGCAGAAGTTTTATTGAACGAACCTTAACGATTATTTGACTGCTGAAATGGTATGCATGTAATACTCTGAGGACAAGCATGGAAACAGTATTGCAGAATAGTAATATGAAATGGAAAATGACATTTAAGTGAAAAGAGTTATAAAATTATTTGATGCAGTTTTTGTTAAAAAATTACATAGTGCTTTTCTGCTAGGTTTTAGAATTAAAAAAATATTTCATGTAGCATCTTCTGCATTATTAACATATGGATATTGCTATATTGAGCTTAATATATTTTTAGATTCTTTATAAGTAGTACCTATTGATGTTACAACTGTCTGTGCTATTACATTCCATAATTGCATATTTTTACAACTAGTGTTAAATGGGACATAGTCACTTTACATGTCATATCACTTCCTATGAAATATTTAAATATGTTCACAAAAGATATACCGAATTTCATACTCTGTGTGTAACTTATGAAGTGAGTTAAGAGCTTAATACTGCATTATACAACTATCATATTACAAATATGAGTGAAACCCTATGAAAGAGAATCTGAAGAAGTCACCCACCCAAGAGAGACACTCACTTTTGCTCCATTTTTAATGGCTTCTTCGTATAGCCCAATAACATCAAAGGTGCCTTTTCTTGCCAATAGCTTTGCTTTGCAGATCCAGAATTTAGCAAATTTTTCAGCCTCAGGAATGTTGGACAAAATGGTAAATATTTCATTAGAAAGTGCACCCTGGAAAAAGAAGATACGCAGAGGTAATGACTACCATTTCACCATTACTGTCCCATTCCCTAATAGTTATCACAGAAGATGTGCAGACATTGGTCTGATCATCTCAGCTTTTTAAAAATTTCAACTTTACTGAGGGGTAATGTGCATATAATAAAATGTACCCATTTTAATTGTATGTTTTAATGATTTCTGACACTGTTCATTCAATTTTAAGAGTTATGTGAGACCAAATAGAGGGAAAAACATTTATCACAGCAGAAGGTAAGGAATATGTTTTACATTTTTATGCAGTGAAAAAGCAAAAACAGGGCCGAGGATGTAGCTCAGTGGTAGAGCGCTTGCCTAGCAATGTGTGAGACTCTGGGTTCAATTTGCAAAAATAAAAACAAAACAACCCTAGAGTTATCAACACTTCTTACGTAAGAGTCACAATACTATATATTATAAATGGGAACAGTGAACACTGGCCAGAATTCCCAGATGCCTCTTAAGAGCAGAATGCAGGATAGCACAGGCATGCAAAGGTCAGGGGTGTTCGTGTGGTGTACTGGGGATTCCCTGCAGGTGTATATGAAGGGGTTGATTCCACATACAGGAACTTTGAAATGGCTTCTGTCAGGGTGGTGACATGCCCCAGGAGGAAAAGGGAACTATCACAACCAAAGCCCAGGTACTGGTTCACTCAGGCAGGAAGAACATCCTGCCCCTCTAGAGACGTGGGAGACACCAAGGTAAGTTCACAACTGAGAATCACCAATGTTTGGGGAAACCAACACAATGGGAAAGAGGCATAAAACGAGAGTGAACACTGGAGCACAAAGTTGAGGGAGCAAAGAGGAATAGAGTTTAAGAGTACTACAGCCAGTATCTTTAGAGTGATAAGAGAATACTGTCTCCATTAAACTCGAATGAGCAGTTTTAGAAAGACTCATAGAAGGGCAGAACAATCACATGGACAGTGTTGAAGAATGAATCCATAAGCTGACAATTCAGTGGTGCAATCCTTCCAGAGTCCAGGATGATAGGACAAAGAAACAAACAGCATGAAATAAAAATCTGGAGTTCTGAAGGACACATTCATTGTTCAGTAATTCCAATACCACCTAAGAGAATTCTTAGAAAGAAATCCTAAGTGACCAGTTCTGAGCGTATACCAAAGCAGATGCAGAAGGAAAATTCTAAGAACTGAACAAAGAAATAATTGTTCTGATTAAAGACCTCTGGAAAGTCAAGCAGGAGGAATGAAAAAACAATATTAGTATTTAGTAAACCAAGGATAAAAAGAAGATCCTTAAAGATTTGTGAGAAGGAAAGAAAGGGATTACATCAGAGGAATGAGATTCGGGTTGATATGTGACTTTAATAAGTTAACTGCAGAGGCAAGAAAGAAAGTAGAGCAGTAACTTCAAATTTTCCAAGGAAAACCATCTCAAATTAGAAAATTCCCCAGCCAGACTGTGATTACAAAATGCAGGCAAGTTAATGAGATTTTCACAAGCACTAACGGCTCAGAAAATTTACTGTTCAAAAACCATAAAGTTACTAGTAAATAAACTTTAGAGTTCACATAACAGATTTGAAAGAAAATTGCAAGAATATAATATAAAAACTTGCAAACCATGTTTCAACTTACACCTACCATTTTATTTTGTTATTTCAATTTATTATTGCCTTTTTGAATGAAAACTGTGTAAAACAGAAATAAGGGGAATTAAAAAAAAGTGGATTAATAGAAATTGAATTATAAAATAGCAGGTTAAGTTTAAACATATGAATAACAACAATACATATATGTGCATGGGCTAAATTTGCTTTCTACAAGCAGAATTTCAGATCTGTTAAAAAACTTCAACTGTACACATTCATACAGGACATTCCTAAAATAAACTCAGGAGAGTTTAAAATCATGGGGTGAAAAAAGTTCTGCCAGACAGATGTTTATAAATGGCAAGAGCAATATCAGACAAAAGAGAAATCAAAGACAGTCATGAATCTTTAAGCCTTTAACATAGCTTGGAAAACTAGAAAGTTAAAGTTGACAGAACTACAAAGACAAATTGTCAGTGACTGATCCTCATTCCAGAGAAATTTCAGCATATTTCTTTGAGAGAGCAGCATATTTGGTAAGCAAATAGAATATACACCCTTTGCAAATACCTTTGGGACATTTACTAAGCAAGATCAGGCATGAAGACCACAAGGAAAATTTTAATAAATTCCATCAAGCAAAATAAAATACAGTAAAATACAGCAGAATAAATACTGGTCATAGTTACCAACCACGATATGGTAAAATTAGAAATTAACATAAAGATGGCAAGAAAAAAATTTTCTACAAATCTGGAAATCCAGATACGTCTCTAAGAAGACTTTTGGGTTAAATTAGAACTCAACATGGAACGCTCTGACCATTTAGGAGGGAAGAGTGAAAACGTGTATCTGGTATTGAGCTGCTGTCTCTTAGTTCCAAGCCCACTGTTCACCCTCTGCGTGGGGATGCTGAAGCTGAACCCCGCTGGGCTGTGCCGCTGCTGGGCACTAGAGGGAGACAGCAGGGATGGAGAAGGGAGGAGAGACCACTCTTGCCGCTGCTCTCGTCACCCCAGCAAGCTCCCTCCCCCTGGTGGCAGAGGCTGGTTTTCACTTCCCTTTTTTTTTCTGGCAGTCAGATCCCACTTCACTGTGCCCCTCTGGAGGCAGGAGCTACAACTGGATAGCAGCGTTTCCTCAAGGTCTGAGCCAAGACCTGTAAGACCCTTCCTGTCCCTGAGGTCCCAGCAGCGGCTGGGTAGCATGCCCTCTGGGGTTGGAGTCCCACGTCCACCAGGCTCACCTCTTCTCCTGTGATACATTATAAAGCATGTATTTGGCTCTCCTCCACTTCCTGTAAAATTCCTGTAATCTCCAAGCACAAAGGTCTTCTGTGTGCTAATGAATCCTCTGATGGACCCTAGGTAGACGTCAAGGTGGCCCCTATCTCTGGGGAAGGACTGACGGTTGAGCTGACCACCTGTGGAGATGCGTCGCTCAGTTGTGCCTATGTCACGAAACCTGCCCTGAAACTCTATAAAGGTCAGGGTTCAGAGAGTTCTGGATAGCAGAACACATGAAGTTCCTGGAGGATGGTGTGCTCGGACGGACAAGGTAACCAAGCCCTGCGGCCCTTCTTGCATGCCTTGCCCTGTCTGTGTCTCCATCTGTATCCTTTAGAATGTCCTTTCTAATAAATAGGAAAATGTAAGCCAAGTGTTTCCCTGAGTTTTAAGACCCAGTCTAGCAAAGTAGACAAACTAGAGGAGGGGGTAAAAACCCTGCCTCATCGTGGTTTATCATAGGTAAAACGACCAGGGCTTGCAATGGGCAGTAGAAGTCGGAAAGGGACAGTCTTACGGGACAAAGTTCTCACGTGTTCGGGATCTGGTACTGTCTCTAGGTAGACAGGGTCAGAACGGAACTGAATTAGAGCGTACCCAGCTGGTGCCTGTTGCAGAGCTGGCCGATTGTTCGGTGTGTGGGGAAACACAGAAGTAGTCCATGGTGACTGTCGAGTAAGAGAACAGGAAAAGCATCTGGTGCGGTTCTTCCCATATGCTCCCCAGTTTCTGTTTTCCCAGGCCCCGTGGCGCTAGCTGCTTCCTGCCGGTACAGCCACTGTTACCTTAGTTTCCTTCTTGCTGTCAGCCCTGTGTGCAGCACATTGATGTCCTTGTGGGGTACCCGTGTCCCCCGTGGTCCCGTTACCCTTTTGTGCACCCAGGTTCACAGTGTGCTTTCATTTCCAACAGCCAGCATCTTGCCTTCCTTTATGTCCACTGTGAGTGGTACCTGGAAACTTCTGTCTCCTCAAGGAAACTATTAATAAGTAACCATGAAGGTAGTAAGGCTGCAAGCTCCTTTATGCTTGGGATAACTCTGAGAGGTGTGGCTTACACGGTCTCCAGAGCGTTCCCATGGGACGGCGCCATGGTTACCCTCCAGGGACTAGCTTGACCCCACACCCTGTTGGCCTTCTTCCCTTCCTGGTCCTACAACCTTACTTCATTCGCCATTTTCTGTGGAAATCTCTTCCTAATCAATTATTTGCACATAAATCTTCTTTTAGAGTCTCTTTTGAGGGAACGCACATGAGTAATGAATCGCAACATTATATTTTTTTACTGAGATTTTTTTGTGACTTGACCCTGACTGATAAAATGTACTAGTCAAATTTGGGGAAAATAGAATTAAGAGGCAAATTTATAGCATTAAACATATTTGTGAGAAAATAAGAAAGACTGACTTAAATCATCTAAGTTTTTAACTAAAAAGCTAGAAAAAGAACAGTAAACATAGTAGGTGCACGGTCAGAGAGCAGTAAAGGGATGAAGGACGAAGTCTTGGACTCTTCACCCATTACTCACTAAAAACTGTGTTTTCTTCGGAGGCAGACAGGGACTTAAAAGCAGTTACTGCTAAAATGTCTGACTCTTCCCTTGGGTCTACAAATGCCTAACAGGTAACTAAACGCAGAACCAAGACTGACCTTCATTTTTGTAGCCTTTATTACTTTACTACTCTGCATACAGACATGCTAATTAGTTAGGAAAAGTCAACAGAACAGAGTTTATTAGCTGTAAATTTACCCAGCCTATCTCATTCCTCTTCAGGACAGAGGACACCAAGATAGGGGAAATTAATTTTCAAGATTCACAGCAACATCCAATTACTAGCTGTTACAGAGTCCAGTTCCAGATCCTTCTTCCTTAGAATGACACCTAAACGTCTCCAGCCATTGTCCTGAACTGGGGGCCACATGGGTCCCAGAAAAAAATGACACAAAGGGAAGACAAGCTGCCATGAGGACAATCATTTCTGGTGAGGCAGGAAGCAGAGAGGAGAAATTCCTGAAAGAAGGGGGCCGAAGACCAGAGGAAAAAAAAAGAGCAAGCAGGCTCTCCAAAAACTGGAGTGCTCACTTCTGACAGCTAGACCACAGCTGGGGAAGACAAGAAGGTGCACGTCCTTAGGGCCCTGGGGCCCCAAGATAAGCTTGCTAGAAACCACAGAGCACCCGCTCTAACAATTAAACCATGCCTGGGTGCACACGGCCTACAGGATATCCTAAACAACTGCAAGTGCGCCCAACTCAGTTATAATTCACTATAATCTCATTCACCCTGTGGTCTGAGTCCCCTCACCCCCACTGCACCGTGGGCTTTGAGCGCCATGACGGTTCATCAGAGGTCCATATAGGGACAAACACTTCCCTTTCCAAAAGGAAGGAAGACTTGTCCCTGATCATAGTGAACTGCCAGCCAGTTCAAAGAGCTACTCCCTCCCTGTAAAAACTGCACATAGACAAGGGATGGCAAACCTTTTAGAGCTTTCAATGATACAAACAGCTTGCTAAGCACGCATGCCACAGGTTCCCCACCTCTAAGACAGACTCTGACACCTGGTTCATTGGGGCCATGAGCTCTTTTCAGGGGCTCACTCCCACCCTGAGAAGCATATCTTGACTAATGGTCTATGACTTCACTTCTACTTCTGTGTGGCCTGCTCAATTCTCTGTGCAGGATACCAAGAATCCTCAAACCATGCGGATTCCTCTAGAGCTACAAAACCAGGGCGGAGATAGCCCTTAACACCAGCTGCCTGCTTTGGGGGTAAGCCAGTCCGACCTTTTCACCAGTGTCTGCCATCCAGCTGTAGTCCTTTCTCTGTCTTTTCTCATATTCTCCAGTTAAAGCTTTTGCCTGTGAATTCACACTGTTGTTTTAGTTTTAATTTCTATTATCACTAAAGTAAAGACTCACGCTAGCCAGTAACAGGTGCACACATTAATGGACAAGAAAAAGTTATCAATAAAACCCAAAAGACACCCTTTTAAAGAGATTACAGAAAAATATTTGGCATGTCTGAATTTTAAAGAGGTACAGAATTTACTAAAGTTGGCTCAGAAAATAAAGACTTACAGACCAAAGACCATAGAAAAAACTGAAAAAGTAGACACAAAGAAGCACAGTCCAGATGACTTTATGGGACGTTCTTACCCAGACCTTCAAAAAACAGTAAATTTCATGTTCTACAATTATTTTCAGAAGATAAGAAAAAAAGGAAAATACTCATTTGACAAAGTCAGCATAATACTGAGATTAGGAAAATGCAAAACCAAAGAACATATGTGAAAGTATGAAATAAAATAAATGAGACTAGCAGAACAAAACTGTATACTTCAATTCTCTATCTGCACTGTAGATACATACATGAAAGCTGTCCAGGGATAAATGGCAAGGTCTCTCTGTCAGGGAGCAGCTTGGATGTGTGTGTGTGTGTGTGTGTGTGTGTGTGTGTGTGAAAAATGAAGACCTGAAGTTTCTTTCCAGTACCAGGAATTGAACTCATGACCTTGCACTTGCCAGGCAGGCGCTGTGCCGCTGAGCTAAATCCCCAGCCCCTGACCTGAAGTTTAATTCCACAAAGGAGAAACAGTTAATGTTTAACTAAATGTTGTGAAAATACTTCATTGAAGCTTTCCTTGTTTTGCTGATGTCCAACATTACCAGTCCAAGGACAGAATGTGCTTGCTTTGGACAAGGACCTTTGTGTAGATCCCCTCCTCTTTTATTTTTAAATGTTTCCTTTGGGGAATCTCCTAAGGATCACATTCCTTGTCTACCATCCACTGTATCCTGATCGGGAGAACACAAGACACAATTCAGATACCATTTCTAGCTACCAACAATACATATGATATTTCAGTTTTATATGACCTTGCCTTCTGACTTCAGTTTTACATCCAAATGTTAATTTTTTACCTTCTGGACCTTGATACCTGAGGAAGGCAGAGTGAAAACTACATCTGGGTCCTCCTGGTGCTGGACTGCTGGGTTTACCTTCCTAACTTCGCCATGCCTCAGTTTCATTTGTAAAGTGGACACAGTGACGTCACTCTGGTAATCACATGAGACCAGAGACGTAAAGTGCTTTCAGAGCTCCCACTTCATTACTATTATTGTCACTATAATTATTATGCTATATGAAAGAGGAGCTAAATTTCTGCTTAAATAATGATTACCTCCCCTGCATTTTATTTAAGAAAAATGCTTAGAAATCCCCAAGACTCTGGGCCAAAGTTATGGTTTCAGAGACCATTTTTTTTGGCCATATTAGGGATTAAACCAAGGGGGTTCTAAAATTTTGAGTTACTAAGTCACTAATTTGCCTAGTCTCAGCTTGAATTTATGATCTTCCTGCCTCAGCCTCCCAGAGTGCTGGGATTGTACCCATGTGCTACAGTGTCCGGCTGGACCAGAACTCTCACCTTCCTCACTTACCTCCTCAATGAGCCTCAGACATTCTGTCAGAGTGCTGCTAATCTTATTGGACAGTTCCAGCTGTGCTCTTTTTTCTTCCTCTTCTTCCTCAATGCTCTTCCAGAATGAAATATTCATTTCCTCTATTGCTTTTCTTTTTGTTTTAAATTCCATAGGAGGCCGTTTATAGATTTTCCCCTTAGATTTCTGCCATTCTTCCAGCTGTTTTCTGTTATGCAATTAAAGGAGAAAGAGGATGGCTTTAGTTTTTCTTTATACATGGTCTAGTTTCTAAAGTATATGATATACAGTGATCAGTTATAACTAAATACTCAATTATAGGCAAAGGAAACAGAATTAAAAAACAATTTCAAACAGGTAATGGCAATACCAGATGCTTCCCACTTGTCAGAAGGCAGATGTTAGACTGGGCATAGTGACACATGTCGGCAGTCCCAGCGCTCGGGAGGCTGAGGTAAGAGGATCGCTATGGATTCAAGGCCAGCCAGGGGCACACAGTGAGTTTAACGCCAGAATGAACAACATAGCGAGACCCTGTCTCAAAAACAAAAACAACAAAAACCCCTGGAGGCAGATGCTAGGGAGCCAGCACTTTAGTCTTCAAATATCTTAGTGTCATGATCATTCCTCATTACTTTTCTCAGACAGCCCCTGCTCGGAGATCATGGACTCAGCGCTCCATTTCTCCCACCACACCCGCGTGATCTGCCACTCAACCCACACCCACCCAAACGGCATTCTGCTCTCAATAGGGTCCCGGTGCTCAAAGCGACCAACTTCACTCTGTTCACCAGCCCTCTCCTGACCACACACAGCTACTTTCCTTTCAGAAACTAGATCAGTATTTCAGGGCTCTTAAGTAGCTGGTCATGCCAAGTCCTAGTCCTCGCTGTCTTCCACTGTTCATACTCTCCATTCTTGGTTCTAAGCAGGCAATAGTCCACATTTTGGGGGCGGAGGCACCGAGACTTGCAGACCCAAGTAGTTTAAGTTACAACTATGTATTAACGATCTCCAAGTGCACACTTCAGTCTAGATTTCTTCCTGGAGCCCCAAACTTTGTAAAACCTACTGCCTCATTGTTACGTTTTGATGTCTGACAGATGTTTTAAATTTAATATTATCCAAAACAAAGCTCTTGATTTTCATCACCAAATCCATTCCGTTTTTGTTACTTTGATAAATAGTATCCCAGTCTACCGTTTCTAGAGCCTAAAACTAGGAGCTGGCTTTGAGCTTTTCCTTTCTTTCCCTTATACCTACACATCACTGGAAGTTTCACTGTCTTGCTTCTGTCTACACTACCACCATGCTGGTCTACGCCCTTGTCACCTCTGTTGGAAAAGCTGCAGCAGCCCCCTAATCATCGCCTGGCTCCCACTCTAACCTTATCAAATTCACTGCACATAGTAGCTGACCTATACAATGTAAGGCAGACCATGTCCCTGCTGAGGAGTTTCCATGACTCATGGAATGAAACTCACAATGTTCTCTGTGGCTGAAAAGCAGTCTAATCAGGCTCCTGCGTATGTCTCCACCTTTGTGCCATCCCATGCTCCCTCTTGCTCAGCACCCCCAGGAGCTCTGGCATCATTTCAGTTTCTTGACCCATGCTCATTGCTGCCTCAGGGTCTTGCATCTTTGGTCCTCTGCTCAAATGACAGTTCCTTAAAGAATTACCTGCCATTATCCTGTCTTATTTGATCAGTGTGTTCATCTTCTGTCTCTGCTATTAGAACGCAAACTCTATGAAAGTAGAAATGGATGTCCCGTGCCTAGCGCTGTGCATGGCACACATAGGTATTCAACACATATGGTAACATTCACCACTGTTAAGCATGTGATTATGTGAGAAGTGCACCAAGTCATATAACCATAACTATAATCAGGACATGAGTCTGTCCTAACACCCTAAAAAACATCCTCATGCTATTTGGTAGTCAGCGCTGTCCCTAACCCCAGCTCCTAGAAGTCACTGTAGTGACTTTTGTCCTTGTAGCTTTTTTTTCCAGGATGCCAATAAGTAATTTTTACTGAGACTGATCTGTTTTTTGTTTGTTTTTCTTCCAGTATCAGGAATCAAACTCACTACCTTGCGCTTTCCAGGCAGGCGCTGTGCTACTGAGCTAAATCCCCAGTCCACCAATGAGTAATTTTTAATGAAGGAACCCAGTAACTCTTTTGCTTCTCCCTTTGACTCTGGGGAACAATTTATCAGTGCTTATTTCCGCCCTGACGGTTCCCCACTTATCCCTTTACTCGAAGCATCTACTTAATGATAGAAGCTGGGGGATCTGATGTGTTTCCTCCAGTTCCTGGCAATCTTCCTATCTCCTTATTCTTCCTTTGAATCATACATGAAGAGGGAACCTTCCTTTTCTAAAACCAACTTACTCCTAGGAGCTCAATGTCAGTTTATTTTTTAACATTCTCCATGTATGCACCAAACCACAAGCTCCAGAAGGGTAGGGACGGACTGTGCTCTCCCCACTCCATCAACACCTGATGCCTGCAGGCATGAAGGAACGCCTGGGGCATGAGCAATGTCCGGACTCTGTCCCTTTTTAATCAAGTATGTTCACAGGCCACACTGTCTGATGAGTGCTCTGTTGTCTGCCCTAAGGGAGGTCTAGGGTGGCGACCCTGACTTCCTCACTCACCGTCTCAGGGTCTCTGCACTCACTTTTCTTTCTGCATGGGAAGGCTGTTCTTGTCATCAGTCTTAGGTCTCAGTGAGATGTCCCTGTCGAAAGTACCTCGTGTGAACTTCTATCTAAAGTGGCCATCCTGGCCCCACTCTCTTAATCACTGAATTAAACTAATTTGTTTCTGCAGGAGCACAAAGAGCTTGCTGGCAGTGCTCAAGGCTGCATCTGGAGACAAAGTCCTGCCCTCAATTCATCCGCAGCCACACCTTTCAGATCTCAACTTTATATGCCCCTTCGCCCCTTGTCAGGAATCCCCTTACTTTCCTCTCCAGTCAGGTATACGTACGTGCTCCTCTTGGGAGGTTCACTATGTCTAGTCTGGCGGAAAGCATACAAAATCCTTTGGCTCATGTATCAAAATTCTTTCAAACATCACGAATGTTTCTAATAAACCCCAGCAACCTAAGACCCTGATTTTTATCATCTCAATGCTGACAATTCTCCTCTCTGCTTTACCTTACTTTCCAAAACCTGGCCCATTCAGACTCACGAAGCTTCCTGTTTTCCCTTCCCTGACAACTTTACTGGACCCAATCACTGGTCTGCTTGACATGGGACAACCATCTTCCTAACTCCCAGCTCTGTGGAACATGCTCCTGACTCCTTCTAACCTGCCCTGTTCTCTTGCTCTTCAGTATTTCTTAAGTAGACTATGTGACAGCCTAATTTCTTACTCATCCATTCTCTGTATTTCAATTTCTTTCTTTTTTTTTTTTCTGGTACCAGGAATCGAACTCATGACCTTGTGCTTGCCAGGCAGGTGCTGTGCCGCTGAGCTAAATCCCCAGCCCCCTCAATTTCCTTTTAAAAACAATTTTAAACATCTAGAAAGTTACAGAGCATGATTTATAACACATGTATGTATCACCTAGCTGTCAAGTCTTAATATTTGTTATAGTTGTTTCAAATCTTTTTTTTTTTTTTTAGGGCTGTAGCTAAAAATTAATTAGGAGCTATTATTTATGACCCATTTCCTAACCAAGGATTCCTGATAGTCAATTTATCTAATTATTTTAGGTTGAAAAACCCTTGAATGAAAACAAGGTACCTTCGATCCTCTGCTGTTGTCTTTTTAATATTTGGATTAGTTTGGGTACCATCTGGGACTCCTCTCCCATTTCTGGTTGTGACACTAGCTTGAGTTTTGGGAGCTGTCTTGCTCAGGAAATGCTTCTGGGGAACAGTCTTTTTCAACTTGGGGTCCAAAGTCTGTGCTCTTTGTTGAAAGCTGTTGGTTCTATTTGCCCTCATGCTGGGAGTGGCAGGAAAGACTGAGCTCAAGCCGCCAGCTGTCAAATTAGGCCTCTGGTTTATGGATTTTGATTTTTGCAGTACACATGTCTGGGGCCTAAAACAAGGTTGAGTGGACTTCTGATCTTGCTTGACGTTTGGATGTCTGTTGTCAGGTCCTCCCTGCAGTGAACTGGAGCATGTCCTGGGTTTGGCAGGTTTTACTTTCTCTTTAGTAACAGTGTATGACTGTACCTTAGTTTCTTGTGGTCGTTCGTATTTACCCGTGTTAAGCTTTACATCCTTTATGTTCTTGACCACCGGTTTCTTTGATGCTTGAGTCCTACTAAGGGTCTGAATGAAGTGAGACGGAACTGTCCTTGGGGGTTTTTCTGGTCTGGCAAGCTCTGCTCCTTTAGAGAGTTGCTGTAACTTTACTGGTAGAGTCCTTACTTGTGTTTTTCTAACAAATTGTTCATTTACCTTATCTTTGAGAATAGCACTATTCACCAACCTTTTGCCCAAGACTTGTTTAGGAGTCACTTTGCTCTTGGTTTGATTGTAAGAGTTAGTCTTCGGCTTACTTATTGTACTTAATACAGGATCTGGCTTCTTCTCAGGTTCTGATAAGGTTTGAGGCAAATTCTCTTTGTTCAGCTCTTTAAGCAAGCCACGCAAAGATTTGTTTTCAACATGGGTGCTACCCATAGAATCTGTGCATTTTGCATTTGTTTGACCTGTTGCTTGCTGCTTTGTAATTTTCGGTCCCTGTGCATTAGATGACCTCAAGGGTTTTCTTGAGAGTTTCCCTTTAGTGGATGATCCAGCTTCATGCTGCTGGTGACTCTTGCTAGAAGGTTTACAGTCTGGGTTAGAAGAAACCCCTCTTGAAGTCAGACTTTTGCCCACAAGTTTTGGTGCCTCTGACTTTGGCTTCTGGGACGCTGTGACATTAGCTGGTCTGGACTGGAGTTTAATGCTGATGGGCCTTGTAACTTTGACAGGCAAAACAGCACGGTTGGTAACATCCTTTTTGGGTTTAATGGTCTGAAGAAGACAAAAAAATATATATTTAAAAAATTTATAATAGCTCACTGTTTTTAAAATAATGATTAAAAATAACTTTTCCAACAAATGCTAGGAAAAATTATTTTATCGAGAATTTCATTTGAGAAAATAGAATCATGAGAAAGGAAAGAAAGGCTGACTTTTATAACTTTAGTTCCTGTTGGAAGTGTATTGACAGAATTAAACAGATTCAGTGAATAGACAAAAGCTGTTGTTTCCAAAATGAATTTGCCTGTATCAAACAGTACTTGCTGTGTGCCCTTCATGTTCCAGAGAAGTGTCCTCCTATGGGCCCTGGGAAGATACACTTACAATGAACTTATTTTACTTATGTTAGGGTCCTGCTCAAATTTTTCCTCATACTTTATACTGTCACACAAAGAAACAAAACCAAAAAAACACCCAACTTACAAACAAAACAAAACAAAACAAAAAACTGCCTTTGTAAACATCACAGCACCAAAGAAAAAAAAAGTTGTATTACAGGTTAAAAAAAAACCCAAAACCTATCTTGTCCCCAGAGATCAGCAATGAAGTGATAGATTAGTGGCAGATACTGGGAGGCCTGAGATACACTGGGACAGATCCTGGCAAACATTTAGCATCTTGGCAGAAAGTTAGTCATCTTTATGCAGTCAGTCAGGACAAGATTTTAAGGTTAGATTCTTTGTGAATTATAACTGTTTTAGTCATGTGATTTATATTTTGGATAAGAAAGGGAGAACCAAGTCATAGGAAACTTTGAAACCTAGGACAGGGAATTTTAAAATGATACCATAAATACAGAAGCAAGCCACTATGGATTCCAGAGCTTCTGAGGTGAAAGCAATTATTTAGAAAGGAGAATCTGGCATATTTAAGAATAGAGGTCTCCAAGGGAAGATATGGAAATGTTAAAAAGAGTTAGCACTGTGTATTTTTGATTTGACAATGTCGTGAAGGATCACTAGGTAAACCTGGTGAGGAAAATAAAAAAGAAATCTGTAACCAGATGCCCATTTGGCCAATGGCATCAGCGCGTGAGGTGCTGCTGAGGGTGGGGTAGGAAGGACCGGAAGCAGGAGGCAGAGAGCTGGCGACAGTAGACCCACCTCGCCAAATCCGGTTACTTCTTGGCCCCAACACTTACATGTGCCTCAGATCTACCTCCCCGCTTCCTCAGAAAGTGGGGATGGTTGTAAGAAAGCTTCCAAATTAGTTTTATTTTTTGGTAGTACTTCTACGTTAAAAATGCTGAGATATAATTCACACATATAAAATTCACCATTACTAAGACTACAATCCAGTGGGTTTTTGTATATTCACGAAGTTGTATGATATTCACTACTAGTTAATGTCAAAACATCCTCATTGTCCCAGGGAGAAATCTGGTACTTGTGAGTTGCTTCCCCTTTCTCTTCTGGCAGCCACTGGCAACTACTAGTCTACTTTCTGTTTCCGTATCTCCATAGATGTGCCTACTTTCAACCTCTTATATACATGGAATCAAGCAATATACGGCTTTTAGTGTCCGGCTCCCTTTACTTAGTATAATGTTTTCAAGATTCGCCCAGTTTTGTTCATGCACTCCCAGAATAATTTTGATTAACTCTGTACCCTAGAATTTAGCTCTTATATTTAATGTTATTAATTGCTATACTGATACAGCGTTGTGCATCATTTCCCCCCCGCTTTTCTAATAAATAGGATTAGAAGGTGTTTGGTTATAGCAGTAACATTCCATTATTTGAGCTTCTCTGGGGGTATGTGCTAAAAATCTCTCAGCCAAAAATCATTTTCAGTGTTTCACCAGAGACAATGCTGAGAGCAAATAACTGAAAACCACCTGAATGGCAAAAGGCTTTCTCACCATCAACCCCATTATTCCAGACTGCCCCTTGATTTTGTACTCTGGAGTATTTCCATCCTAGAGTGAAGTAGTATAGTAAGATTAAGGATGAGGTGGGTGAGTGATGTGCCTATGTCAGGTAAGAAAAAAGAGGAAGAAAGAAAATTGAAAAGAGGAAGGGTGAAGCTGCTAAGGGAGGTAGGAAAAGAGAAACTGCATGTGACACATATTTGTAAAGCAATTTTAGGTCCATGCATGTACAAAAGTTGAAGATCTGGAAATGATTCTGTTAAAATGTGTGCCTATGTACCTATTATATACCTCCAGAACACATATCCCAACCTGCTAGCATCAGTAAGTGTTTCAGTATTTATTAACTCAATTCTTTCACACAACTCCAAGCACTGCTTCCTATTACTCTCATTTCATTAACTACACATGCAGTTAAATAGCTTGCCCATGTCACTTAGCTGTAAAATGGAGTTAGGATTTGTATCTAGGCAGTTAGGAAATTACATAAATTATAATGACTATTACTTACATTTTTTTAGTTTTTCCTAAATTCTGAAATTTCCTTCTCCTTTTTTTTAATCTTTAGAACTGTATACAGCAGATAATATAGGTATTGCTCTCGTTTAAGAGATGATTTACTGAAGTCAGAATTGCTAGCTCTGACTGAGGAACCTTTCCAGTAGATTTTTTTTTCTTTTAAGACTTGAATCCTAGAAGGGCATGGTGGTATATTTGTGTAACACCAGCACTCTGGGAGGGTGAGGCAGGAGGATCACAAGTCTGAGCCCAGCTCAGGCAACTTAGCAAGAATTATGTCAAAATAAAAATATAAAAAGGGTCACGGATATAGCTCGGTGTGAAGGCCTTAGGTTCAATCCCCAGTATTGCAGAAATAAAAAAAGACTTGCATCCTACATTCCTACACTGGTACAATCTGCATAAAGTAGAAGTCTAACCAAGTGCTTCTGTTCACATCATTGCACACTAATTTTCCCTCATGTACACATTCTATCCGTCAGTGTCTGGGATGTCATGCATACACATGGCACATAATGTCCATATGGGCACAAACATGCCTGTGTATGTATACACACATGTAGTTTGTGTGTGTGTGTGTGTGTGTGTGTGTGTGTGTAGTGAGTGAATCATTAAAACTTATAAAATTGGCACCAATGTCTTACTTTGGGCAACACAATTTCAGTTTACATTTGAACTTTGGTAAAACTTTTGTTTCAATAATTAGAAATGCGATTTTATGGGTAGCATGAATATTTATTTTACTGTAGATGAAGAATTTGTATCCTTTTCAGAAGTCTTAATTTCTTTCACTTAAATCTTAAGAATGACAGAATCCTTTCCATTCTGCCTACAATCTCGTTGTACTGAACTGATTAGGAAGTGTATTTTTTTGTTAAGCAGCTGGGATGATCCAACATAGGTATTTACTTTGTGGCAGAATACCAAGGCTTTGGTTAAGACCAGGGGTTCTCAGCATTGTTACTTAAGAGCTACATGACCTTGGAAGGATATTTAACCTTTCCATGACTCGGTTCCCTCATCTGAAACATGGAGCTACTAATAAATGGTCTCTGCCCTGTGTAAAGCTGTGAGGACTCAGTGGGTTAATGCAAGCTAGAAGGTGCCAGGCACACAGTAAATATTCAATAAATGTTAGCTATCAAGAGTGTACTGAAAGGTTTTTTGGTTATAAAACTAAACAATGTTATTTTCTTTTTTTCAAAAAATGTTTGTCCCTTATTAAACCAACTGTTGTTACATTGATGAGAAATATATGCTATTTAGCATCTTTATTATTTAAATAGCATCTTTACTATTTTTTTTTTTTTTTTTTTTTTACTAATCATGATTCTTTTTTTTTTTGGTACTGGGAATCGAACTCATGACCTCAGGATTGCCAGGCAAGTGCTTATGCCGCTGAGCTACATCCCCGGCTCTAATCATAATTCCAAACTTGGTATTTCTTTAAAACCCAGTTTCTACTTACAGATTTAGAAGGTGGTGGATTTGGGCAATTATTCCTGGCTTTTAGATAAGGCCTGTAAGAGAAAAAATAAAATTAATCCTTAGTATAAAATCAACAAAGCTTGGAAAATATGACGATTAAGTAATGCATTAGAATTTTAGTATATGGTAAAGTAATGCCAAACTATATTCAATAAAGTCTCCCTACTATACCTTCTTTAGTTTTGTATTCTGTTTTAACCCGTTGCTTTGTGATTCTTTCACAGATATCCTGTGCACAAATAAAGCACTCTAATAATATTAGTGAAATACATGTGGCTTTTGTACATCTTATTCATTTAAACATCATCCCTTCATACTGTGATGTGGTAGATACTAGAGATAAAACAATTAATTGTTTCCTTAAAAAACTTCCTTGTTATACATACTCCTCAAATAGTAAATTTTCAAGGTGAAAGTGATATATATTATATATATATATGAAGGGATGGAAAATGATCAAGAAATTTTATATATTCACCAAATGTAACTACTATACATTGCAAACATATACTAATTTAAAAGGGTGATCTATAGCTGAGCCTTCATATCATTCAACATCTGTGGTTCTAACCAATCTGCTAAAAATATTTGAAAAATTAAACTGCATATATATTGAGCACTATAAACATGTTGTTATTCCCTAAACAGTACAGTGTAACTCTATAGGAGTTATTTTGTATTAGGTGTTATAAACAATTCAGAGTTGATTTAAAGTATATAGAAGGATGGATTGGGGATTTAGCTCAGTGGCGCAGCACCTGCCTGGCAAGCATGAGGCCCTAAGTTTGATTCCCAGTACTAAAATTAAAAAAAAAAAAAATTGAAGTATATGGCAGGATATAAGCAGGTTACATGCAAACACTATGGCATTTTATACAATGGACTTGCGCATCAATGGATTTTGGTTTCTGCGGGGAGTCCTGGAACCCATCTCCCATGGATACTGAGGCATGACCGAAATTAGAGAAATAGGGACATTGCATGAAATCTACCTAGTGCGATGAAAAGGCGGGGACACAAAGGAAGGAGGGGAAGAAAAGCATTTAGAAAGATTTAATCTCCATGGACCAAAACAATTGTCAGACTAACAGGGATCATCTGGTGCGGGAGGACAGGGACCACTCTGTCTTATTACACACCATATTTCTAGCATTTTAGAGTGACTGATACATTATAGGTACTAAATAAACATTCATTGAGTAGCTTTTAATTACATAATTAATTTTGGGTTTTTTTTGAGACAGGATATAGCTCAGGGTGGCCTGGAACTCTGGGCATCTTTCTGCCTCAGCCTCCTGAGTGTTGGGATTACAGGTGTGATACATACCCTGCAATAATTTTTAATTTAATCAAAGAAACAGGATTGGGTAAAACCCAAGATAAAACAATGACTAAAAGTTAACTTTTAGTTGAGCAACCCAGTTGGGAAGAAAATATACCTATGCTAATCCAGGGGGATTATTAACACCATAATGATGGGAACAGATTGACAAATATGGGTGAAATGGTTTTGTTCTGCCCACCTCAAAAGTAAAAGCTGAGAATGACTGAAAAGCATCTTTGGGCTGGGAGATGTGAGTGTCTCTACGGTGAACTGATGACTGGCTCTGCTGCTTTGGTAAGAAACAC